CAAATAACCCCTCATTTTATCTGTCAAACTTTCATACCGAATCAAAACAAACATTGCGTAGTACTAGAATTTCGACTAGAATGGGGTACGTTAATCGTTTGCTTGGGACCAATAGGCTAGTCAAGTAGTGAGCCAATTTAAAATCGTTAGTTTCGAATTGATTATTAGTAGAACATTTACAGGTATATTGGGCTCTGAAAAGTGTTGTTTAAATTTGTTGTAGCTTTAGGTAGCAGTAACACCAACAATCAATACGAAACTAACGATTTTAAATTGGCTCACCACTTTAGTAGCCTATTGGTCCCAAGCAAACGATTAACGTACCCTATTCTAGTTGAAATTCTATTACTACACTATGTTTATTTTGATTCGCTATGAAAGTTTGACAGATAACATCAGGGCTGTGTGGATTCATGCAGAACATGCGGGGGTGAGTGAAATAGCTTGGGACTGCTTGGGACCGTTGTTCTGGTACTGAGTGAGCCAAAAATAATAATGATTTTCTTCGAGACCCAGTGGTCTTAGAGTTACCTCTATGGTAACACCATAGAGGTAACTCTAAGACCAGAAGGTCCCGAAATAACGTGCACAAGTTTTTGGCTCAGCTCTGGTACTCTCTTCGGTCCCAAGCTAATCGATTCACCCCTCGAAACATAGGAAAAACCAATAACCCCTCATTTTATCTGTCAAACTTTCATTGGCGTTGACGGCACCGTCGAAAAATTTGCTCTTTCAGCAAATATAGACAGTTTCTTATGGGAATTTTCGGTGGAGTGAAAGGATAGTACAAAGTCCGCCATGTTTCACGCACAGTCTGACGTTTGCTTATGGATTTTCTCATAGGAGTAAAGAGCTACAGAGTCGCCGTCAACGCCAATAGCGAATCAAAACAAACATTGCGTAGTACTAGAATTTCGAATAGAATAGGGTACGTTAATTGTTTGCTTGGGACCAAAAGGCTAGTCAAGTGGTGAGCCAATTTAAAATCGTTAGTTTCGTATTGATTGTTGGTAAGACTTCCTTCAGCAAAAAACAAATAGATGCGCACGACAAGAGAACACGATGCGGACTGTCAAAGATAGGTTGATTGCTTGATTAGCTCTTTCACCAGAAGCCCGGTTGGAGTGGCTTCTTGGCACATTCGATCTCGGTGATATGCGACCCATGCATCTGTTGTCCAAGATGAAAGAACTTTCCACTGGCCTCAACGTGAACGATAACCTCCTGAAAAAAAATTTCTTGCAGCGAATGCCATCACATATTCGCCTAATTTTGACTATCAGCGACGATTCATTGACGAAGCTGGCGGAGATGGCTGACAAGATGGAAGCGTCCCCACAGTCCGCAGCGGTTTCTACTTCCCATGGGGTAAACTAAAGAGCCTGACTTTATTTTAAACACGAATGAAAAATTAATCATATGAGTTACGTAGTAATTTCAGAAGATTTGCACCATGATTCTGTATCTGTAAACTTATTTATCTAAAAAATGATTGCTTTTCTACGTACAGAACAGCAGTTAAATGTGGATAAAATTAATCTCATGTCTGACGGAGCTGCAAGAGATAAAAATCTCTAAAATAAAGATTAAAAAAAAATAATAACGGAGCTTCCCAACTAACAATTTTCACAAGGTAAACGCTTTACTCATTTCATTTATACAGCCTCAAGCTGTATTTAAACGTTATACGATATGAAGAAACCTTTACTCAACCTCTATACAAGCAAATCTGGCGAACTTACTCAGCTACTTATGGCTGTTGGAACGGTTGGGAGAAGCTCTTATTGCATACCCATTAACGCTTCTATACAGCTGTTATTATGCTGTTAAGTTGTGTGTGAACTTGAAAGGCGCTTATTCAATCTTTTCCCGGTAATCCAATAATCACTACACAGCTTTCTCTTGAAGCCGGGTTAAATACTGTTAACGCTTTTTTATGAAGGAATTTATTGAGCTTATTTTACTGTGAATCAAATTAATCGAAATTAGTTACAAATCATCATCAAATTATTTACCCTGCACCGGAGGAACCTGGAATCGAACTCGAAACGACCTCATTGGCAAACCTTGACACTACCAACTGTGCTACGCCAACACTTTGAACTTGTGTAAACAAATCAACATTTCCTTCTACAACAAATTCACTGAGTAGAGGCTTTATAATAGTGCACATGAATCACTTTTCTCGACTAGTTATAAAAGAGCAGAGTAAAAGCTGTAAAACTGCACACGTCTAAAAATAAATCTAGTTGACTGTGAAAATGCTTCCGAAGTTGCTCTAACACACTTTATAAGCTGAGTACAGGTTGTTTAGTTGTTGAAAAAGCACTTTTGATGTTTATGTTATTCAGCAAGAGTGGTTGGTTGTTTAGAAGCCATCAAATGAGTAATATATTCACTTTGTTAGCTTTGTTTTGCAGCTACAAGTGTTTTGATTAGTGTTGATTAGTGTGTGTATAGAAGTGACATTAGCATTTATTGGCTGATGTTATTCAGTGCGACTGACAAATTGAATAAGGGTTGTGAGAAAGTTGAGTAAACGCTCTCCAAAACTATTTTGCTAGCTTTTGCTTGTAGCTGTATCTGCAGCTTCTTTTCAGCTACTTTACAGTACAACGCTGGAAAAGTTGGCTTACAAAGCTGAAAATGTTAGTTGGGTTGCATACCAGTATAAAATCGTCTCTTTGTCTGTCTATTGACGGTTTCAACAGTAAATTTGAGCTCATCCTAAAAATTTGCCACAATGTGTGTACTATGTTTACTGAAAATGTACATCAATGTTCCAATATGTAAATACTAAATTTTTCAGGATTTTTGCAGGCTTCAGAATTCAAGTTTTTTGTATTAATGTTTTAGAGTCATTATTACATAAATATTTGTTATGTGAGCTGTAACAGAAATACCTTTGTCCAAAATTTTCTAATTGTTTCCATCCTTCATATTTCTAAGACTTCGAGTTTTAAAATTTTTATTTCTAAATAATATTTTTATTGCATGATTTCTCAATCAATTTCCATATGAGATCTTTACTACACGTAATTTTAAGTTAAATTATTACAATCAAACAACCAATTCACCATTTCTTGTTATACTCCAAACCGTGTTCACTTCACCAATCGCAGTTCCTCAATTGAATATGATCTGACCATGAAACAAGCAACTCATGGGATTCCCGATCAACTTCGACCTATTATTATTCCGCGTATTTTTACTGAAAAGTACCAACAAGTCAATTGCATGAAAATATATTTTACAGACGGGTCCCGTCTCAATGGATCCACTGGCTTCGGTGTCTTCAATGAAAACTCTAGCGCCTTCCGCAAACTTCAGGAACCTTGTTCCGTTTTTGTTGCTGAGCTGGCAGACCATTACTTCATCTTCACGGATAGTCTCAGTTCGATTGAGGCTATTCGGTCGATGAAACAAGGTAGGCACTCATCTTATTTCCTTTCAAAGGTAAGGGAGCAGATGTGTGTGCTGGTCGAAAGATCATATATGATTACCTTTGTATGGGTCCCCTCACATTGCTCAATCCCAGGCAATGAGAAGGCGGACTCTCTCGCAAAGGTGGGCGCGCAGGAAGGCGAATTGTATGACAGGCAAATTTCACACGATGAATTTTACCGTTTAGTGCGTCAGAGTACCTTTTCGAGTTGGCAAACCGATTGGGACACTGGAAATCTTGGACGGTGGTTACATTCAATTATTCCTAATGTTTCTTCGAGAGCGTGGTTTAAAGGCTTGGGCTTAAGTCGTGACTTCATTCGCGTGATGAGTAGACTTATGTCCAACCACTACTCGCTAGATGCTCATCTCAATAGAATAAACCTCGTGGACAGCAACATCTGTCGGTGTGGAAACGGTTACGATGACATCGAACACGCAGTTTGGCAATGTACGGATAATGACGCCGCCAGAGAGCGTCGAATACCCTCGAGGCCCAAGGAAGACAACCCTATGTTCCTATCAGAGACGTGTTGGCAACCCGTGATCTCTGCTATATGCAGTCCGTTTATGTTTTTCTTCAAATGTCTAGTATAAGAATTTAATTCCTTTTGTCTTTTGTCTCTCTTTATTAGTTTTTGTTTGTCTTGTCCCCCCGTCTCGATGAGTCTCATCGTCGCCCACTGGTCACCCACCATAGCCGGTCGAACTCCGGACGAAGCTAGAACAGCACTACCGTTCATACTGGCGACAACGCTCTGATGAGACAACGAAACCCTACCCCAAGCTCCTCCCCTGATCCTATCCTTCGAAAATGTACCCTTCTAACCTCGAGTAAGCCGCGAATAATCGGCCCAACTCCTACTTGACATAGAATTAAGTGAATTTTGTTACACACAGTGAACAATGAATTATCGGCTCCGTAAAGCTAACGCGATTGAGCCTTCCAAATAAACGAACTAGATAAAAAAAAAACCAATTCACCAAAAATTGGGTTGTAGATTTTTTGTACTATAGGCCAGGCCATTACAAAAAAAATCAGTTTTTATCCCCTGGCTGTCTCGTGATTCGCGAGTTTGACAAGCGAACAAAAAAAAAAAAACGCATTCGTACAAAATTGGGAATAGCCCAAAATCGTTCGAAAGAACGATGTTCGAAAGTTAGAATTGCTTCGAACGAAAACGGGAATGCGAAATTGCCTTCGTTTCGAACGAATCCGGTTCGTACGAAAACGGGAATAGAGGTGATAATTTCTAAAAATAGTATTTTAGCTGTAATAAGCATTTCCAAACCTGATCTTACGATCATTGATTATGTTCAGTTTTCAAAAATATAGGATTTTTGTTTTAGTAAAATTGAAGTCTTGCCCCAACCCTTTTATCGAACATCCCAGTTATTTCTCTTGGAAGTTCAGAGGATTTCTTGGTTTCCAACAAAGCAAGCATGACATCAACACATTCCTACCCAATTACCTTTTAAATCACTTGTTTTACACACTAGGCCCAAGGATAACCTGTTGGTTCTGTGTAATTACTGCTGATCTGATAATAACGGAGTACCATCAGCGGGCGGTCAATCATGCTCATGCTCCGAACACTGGTACCAGTTAAAGCGTCATAATCTAATGAAGAAATAAAATGTTCGCTAATGTATAGATTGTGTTCAAGTGACATTGTTACATGTTTATTTGACAAAGATAATGAAGTACTATTCGGTGTCCATATCCGAGCTATCATCATCGTCATCGGAATCATCGTCTTCGTCATCGTCATCGGAACCTTCATCATCGTCGGAAGAACCATCTTCACTATCCGAACCGAGCCATTCATTACCAGTGAGACTGTTAGCGATAAGCGTCTTCCATTGATCCATTTTATGCAAATCTGTGAAATTAATAATGATTAATTGATTTTGGATACTGGAAATATCGACAATATCATACCGATGGAATAGAAATCACTCAGTGTATACTGTCGACTTCCACTTTCGTACAGACCGCCGTAGATGTAAAGAAGTCCTTTGCATACAACGATTCCTGAGTTCATACGTGGTGTTGGTCCACCGAGATCAACCGTTTCTGAGTTCATTTTAGTACTGGAACTGCTCTGCGAAGGCCCGCCCACAGACACGGTAAAAACGCCATCATCGTGGACAACAGTTTTCACTTCAGCTGGCTTAGTTTCTTCCTCCATTTCGGCTTCTTGAGGTTTCAGGGTTTTTTTCTTTGTTGACAGATCAAGCTTTCTCCAGCTATGCGAAGCCGGATCAAGCGAGTGTAGTTCGTTGCTGAACATGCCTCGTACGTCCTCTTCATCTTCTTCGGTGTCCAATACACCTCCAAATGTATATACTTTACCGTTAGCAGCAATCACGGCACTCATTCCACTCCTGGGAGGTGGACGTTTTCCGCCAGGTTTGACGCTTGTCCATTTATAAGACTCGAGGTCATTTTTATCCGATGTTAGCGCAAACATATCTGCATGTGTGACTCCACGATCTATTTCCTTCTTAACATTTGACTTAGAATAGCCACCCCAAACGAGAATCTTTCCTTCGGGATTAGCTATCATGCAACAACCGGAACGAGGTGCTGGTGGAGTTCCAGATGGCTCTATCTTAGTCCAAGTATAATTCTCCAACGAGAAACAATGTAGGTCATTGAAGTATCGATAGGACGTGTTGTTATCATGAAAACCGCCAAAAACAAATAATTTCTTCTTGGTTACAACCATTCGGTGACCACTTCTGGCGTTTGGCGCGTTTGCAGCATTGATTTTTTCCCATTGCTTTTTGGCAATTCGGTACACCCACAGATCTTTATAGTGGTAGAATTGAAGCTGCGATGGTGAAGCAAATTCCCCTCCGAAAAGCCAGATTTGACCACCGTCCGTGCTCACCGAAACCATCTGGTGACCACTTCTGGGAGCTGGACAGATCGATGATTTAAGCACTTTCCATTCGTTCTTGGTGATATTGTAGCAGAAGAAATCTCCATAAACAAAGGTCTTCTGACCATTGAAAAATTCTCCACCATTAATAAAAATCTCTTCCTTATCCGGATGGGAACAAATGGAATAATTGGCTCTTGCGGTCGGTGGTGCACAGAGAACTTCCGTTAGATCCGAAGATTTAGTTTCTATTGCTTCATATTTAGCCACAATTGTTTCAATATCGTCCTAAAAGTTATGATTAGACATTAAAATTTAATATTGGATTTCAAACTGGCTATAATAGCTTACCTCGCCAAGCTTTGCGATCATTTTTTTCTGCCTAGCCGCCAGTTTTTTATCCGTTTTAATCGTTGTTTTTTCGGCTCCTTTGCCTTTTTTCTTGTTTTTCTCTCTTTTGCCCATTTTGCCAAAAAATCTCTTGATTAACTATTGAATTTACAAAAAAATATAAATGCGGTGGTAAACGCACGTTTGTAACGCTCAAAAGCTAACACAGAGTAGTAAACAAAAACATGTGTTCGCCTTCGTTTAGTGTCTTGCGGGAAATGTCAAAAGTCAGCAGAAGTTAATATGGCTGAGTTCTTTCGCTCGAGGGGTGTATCGTTAGAAACACTTCGAAGCCTCTTTCAGGCGTGCTTTCAGGCGCATCGGAAAATCGAAAACAAGCTAACTTTCGTCTAGAACAGATCAGACACGAACCACCCAACAAACAATTTGTGCTGATTAAGAGCTGAATAAGCTATTTTTTAGCTGAAGAAGCATATTTTTGCCTTAATAAGCTCTTATTCCGCTTACAATGTTTGTTGGGCAATTCATAACTTTTGCATGCGGGTTCATGGCTTAGCTAAATATTTTCAGCAAACATGAAGCCAGATGTCAGTAGTGTGCTTTGGTCAGAAATTTTATTGTTTTTGCTATGGTCATTCATGTCGGTTTGTCAGTGATAAGTTCAGACTTTTGAGTTATAACATGTTTGTGGTGTGTTTAAAAAAACTATATTCCATTTTACGGAATGACAGGAGCTAGTTTGGTTGACAGAATTGGATGATATTGATGTTGATTCTCACAGTCGTTAAGTAACTGTCTCCTGTCAAAGTTCATTAATGAGTTGAATCAGACACGTCTCGTAAAATGCTTTATTATAACATGTTATACAAGCTATAATGATTCTGCCTAATGACTGGGTAGATTATACTCATTCTTACATGGCGTATGGAGTTGTCAAAATCTTGATGAGTACCCAGATTCTGGATAAACCAAGGGGGGAGGTGGCTGTCAAATACGAACAATCGTCGCCTACCTCGCATAACTGGTTCCAAACGTAAACAACCCATAACAAACCAATTTCATACAAGAATGATCAGTAGGGGCACGAACGGAAGCTTGACGTAGGACCACTAGTGGACGGAACAAATGTGAAAAGCATTTAGTTCTTTTAATTGATCGATCATCTATTATCTTAACTCTTTCCGTTTTTGAATTTGTGGCCCTGAAAAGGACCGTTTGTTGTTTTTTTCCTGGTGTCCATCGAAAGGGTTGTTGGAGTTGGAGGGTACGGAATGAATAGGTACTAATCTCTGTTGCTTCGGTCTGTAATCAAGAAAAATATTATTTATATTACTATTCAATAAATTGCTTCAACAATCTACATACACAATGGAATATATACCAACAGTATGATCGCTTTGGACGCCTAAAGCAGTAAATATTGGCCGGTGGTAAGAGAAGTAGGTGATGAATCGTTTGCACCTAAGGTCCGAGATATGCATCTTAAAGACCATATCGATACAAGATCCCCTGAGTGTGGTTGGCTGTTGATTCAACGCTAGATTGTTGCTTCTTCCATCGAACTGTGTGTAGAATATATCCGGCCGTGGCGATTCAAAGAAAAAGTTGACGAAGAGAATCGATCAAAATCATTTGCAACCCCTGCTTCCAAGTTTGGTTACAAGATTACAACTGGAGAGCATTTTGTGTGGTCGTTGGGGGCGTGTAAAGCAGATAAATTCTATGCCTACTTTTTACTGGAATAAGCTTGGTGGCCCAGAAAAGGGCCGTTTTGTTGCCAAAGTTGGTGATGATTTAATCTCCGAAACCGTACAGAGTGCGTCTCTGTCGCTTCACACCTAGATCCATGGACGCTTACGCTTGGCGTGTTTATTGTAGGTGACAGCATCATGGATCTCGTTTTCCAGTAACACCTTCAGCACACCTTGTAGATCAGACCGGAGATACGTTTGACACCACCACGGCGAACCAGACAACGGATGGCGGTTATCACGAAGAACCTTGCGATGACGCTTGGCACCTTCTTTACCAATACCTTTTCCTCCTTTGCCACGAACAGTCCATTGTTGCTTGAGTGGACTATCTAACCTGCCACCACCAGTTTGGTATTAATTCGGACCAAGTAGATGTATTACTGATCCCTTAGAAATAGAAGAAGTAAGAAACCAGGTTGTTGAGCTCATAGCCAAATGACGCTGTTACATCAGTTTGCCGCAGAGCTAGCTGATATTGATAATTTATGCAGTAACAAACTTGCTGAACACTTACCAACGTTTTGTTTTCGGGAATCTTAAGGAGTTGGCCATAAGGAAAGATATTAGTGAAAAAGACGAGGCTTTTGTTCTACTGGTAAATTCACTTGAACTTAAGGACCCATTCGCTGATGTAAGAACACCCTAAAACAATTTGTCGTATTTGGCCTATAAAGCGGATGGCTCAGTGTCCACTGTTCGAATGATCGTTCTTGGCAGCCGAACAGCTACTAAGCTGGTTCCTGATTCCTCATCTCATTTAAGATTTGGACGAGTGGCTATGAAACACAAATCAAGGATAGTAAAGGATGTGGCATACTGTATACTGGGAGACAGGATCCTAGAACTTGTCATGAAAAGCCCAGAAGCAAGTTTTAAAGATGGTTCACTTGTTAAAAGTCAGAATATGTTTAAAGACTATCCATGTGTATTTATATTTTTGTTATTCAGATAAAATTGAATATTTGCACCTAAACACGAAAATTAAAAAGAAACATACTAACATAAGATTAAGCCGGTGGTGTAGTGGTAAGCGTGAGGGCTACTAAATAGACGTATTATTTTAAATATTCTAAGTTTTTCAAATTATTTGAAGGAAATGGTTCAAATAGGTACACGGATACAAATTTTGTTCATTTAAATCAAACATATAAATTTTTACTCTAAACATATGAATTATTCAAAGTAAATTGAAAAGATGTTAAAACTAAAATATTTATGTTTGAATTAATTTCAAACACATGTTTATTTAAACAATATAGAAATCCATCGTATTTGACAGCACCAACGTGTCTATGTTTGACTGTCCATGATCGGTTTTTTTGTACGTGGCGAATAATAATGGAATCATTGTCCGGTGGGACCTGGCCAAGCGGGAATGGTTGGCAGTGACAAAGGCGCAGAAGACGGTAGTTCTTTCGCTGGCCAGGATCTGAAGTTTTTGTTAGTGTCCGATAAGCGAGGCGATAAGACTAAAAGCTGGACGGACACTGGAGCTGGTGAATGCTGGGAACATTAACACGTTGCTACCGGGGTGGTTTTCATAAGTTATATTCGTGTACGGAAGATAGGACGGTGAAGGACTGGTCCCTGGACGACATGTTCTACGTGGAGACATTATACGGTCATCAAACGCTGATGATGCCCTATCTTGAAAACGCTTCATTACTTCCGGTGAAAAATCGCAGTTGTTGTGCAACTGTCTTCTCAGCACGGATAACTTGAATGTGTCAAGTTGATCGGTAACAAACATTTCGTGTCCTGTGGGACTCATCGTTTACTATAGGTTTGGCAAAAAAAAATGTTGTTAATACGGTCAATGGGGAGGCGAATTTGATAAATGCTATCGCGTCACTTTTGAATACGGATGTGATGGCATCCCACTATCAGACCAGGCGGCACAAATCGAAAAATCGACTTTCACTAATCCTTTTTACGAAATATTTAGTTGATAGTAAACATTTTAACTAAGAGAAACCCAAGGTTTTAAACTTTTATCATTCCCAGTTCCTGAGATATCGATCGTCAAAGTAAAAAAACGAGAAAAATGTGTGCTTTTCGAAGCAAACACGCGCTTCAATTGAAATCAATTTTAGACCATTATTCCATAAAAACTATAATCAACAATCAATACGTCAAACTTTCATAGCGAATCAAAACAAACATAGTGTAGTACTGGAATTTATACTATAATGGGGAACGTAATCGATTTGCTTGGGACCAATAGGCTAGTCAAGTAGTGAGCCAATTTAAAATCGTTAGTTTCGTATTGATTGTTGCTATACTGAGCCAAATTTTGAAACCTTCATGCTGATGGAATATCGAAGCAACCTGATAATTTTCTATTCTTCTTCTTCTTCTTCTTCTTATTCTTCGCATTTCAAGCTTATTGCTTAGCGCATATTAGCTTCTTGCGTGCTCTCAACTTAGTGTTCTAAATGCACTTCCACAGTTATTAATTGAGAGCTTTCGAGCCAATACCAATGCATGAATTTGTATATTGTGTGGCAAGCACAATGATACTCTATGCCCAGGGAAGTCGAGAAAATTTCCAACCCGAAAGATTCCCTCGACCGGACCGGGAATCGAACCCGCCGCCTCCGGCTTGGTAATACCGTGCCTTTACTGACTAGGCTATGAAGCCCCGCTAGCTGATAATTTTGGATTCACACTGAATAAAGGCTTCAACCCTCGCTTTAACCCAGTGTATAAGATGCTGCACGCTGACGTCACGTGATGAACACGCATTCATCAGTTTGTCATCCAGTGTGGGTTTGTTTTCTTTTTCCTGTTAGTCGTTTCAAGTGGATTTGAGTTTTTGAACGAAAAGATGTAGCCGTCACTGGTCGATCTCGAATAAGTATGCGGCTTAAGCGCCACTCCGATAAAGGAGACCGCATACCATGTTGAGTTTGCCCGGATGAGACTGCCTCAAGGGCGAGTCCAAGTGTAATCTTCCTAAAAAGAAGAGATCGAGCCAGCTTCACTACCACCGAAATTGATCGGGTAGAAAACCTTATTGCTAAAACAGCATAATCTCTCACACCCCGAAATATTTCCCCGAAGCTCACGGTAAGAGATCACACAAAACCTAAACGACGTTACACGTCAAGCTTTCCTCATCGGTAGTTCCACTTATTTCCGCCAGAGGTGCAGCTTCAACAAAAGAGGTACGCCACATACAAGTCAAATTCCGACCACGCGGAAGACAACATAATTACCCGGACCCGAAACAACGTGAAGACACTTTCTTCCTTTCATTCAAAAGTTTTAATAGGACTGATCAACAACATTACATTCACACCACTGCGTCCTAGCAAGAAGTACGGTCGACCTGTTACGCGCTCCGTTAATTTGGAAGTTTTCTCGCTATTATCTGACGTAAATAATCAGTTTTTCTCGCTTAGTGATTCCTGGCATAATTCCCGATAGATTTATCAAAAAGTGAGTTTTTTTCTGAGAAGAAAGTGTGGCATCATCGAAAATTGTTT